GTCACTCACTACACATAAATGCACAATTAAAGACCAAGAAACCTCCGAAAAGAAGGCGGCGAAAACTCATAACCGAGTTGTAGAGCCAAGAAACAACAAGAAAAACAACTACCTTAAACCGAAAAACGGATTCATTCATATGACGTCCGAATATTTTCTTGAATACTTTATTTTAAAAGAATTGTGAATGTGTAATTCTTTCTAAGTAATAAACCAAATATAACGGTGCCATAGCTCAGGTGGTTAGTCGCCGGCTTCTTGCCACGAAAGACTGTCCCAGGTCAGTCTATGTGGCATTTGTGGTGGACAAAGTGACACTGAGAGAGGTTTCTCTCAGAGTGCATCGATTTTATTCTGCTAACATCATTCCACCGCTTCTCTGTATTCTCTCCTCTATCATCCTCTATCAACAATAGCCCCAATAACAGACCAGTTTTACAGATACGTAGTCTCACGCCATCGCCACAAGAAAGAGACCATGCATCATACCCATACAAAGAAATTGGTAGATTCACTGTTTTGTAAATTATTATTTTGATTTCCGTATTATCGAGTATTCTGAACCTTAAGTTGCATTATAATTATTACATCGACAACAAGTGAATTACGTGCTTCAGCATGAACGTAAAACACATGCATATATGCAGAAATAGAAAATAAGAAAGGGTATCAACAATTGGAAACAGTTTCACTAGTTACAAAATTAATATAAAATTCCATCCAGATGCTTACATTATAGTGCCTTCGAAATTTTGGCCCAACTGGTACGGATTTACCTCGAATATAGAATTCTGGATCTGTTTCCATGAAATTTTCCTCGTGTTTTATTATCTCTCGCTTAACAATTTAGAATTCTATCAGCATTTCTACCAAAGCCTTCCATTATTCTCTGAAACTATCACATTGCTGTTTACTTCATTTCCGTAAAAGATAACTTTCAGTAATTAAACCTCAATTCCAGTCTTCCCATTTTAAGCTTATATTCAGCTGCAGTTTAGATAAGAGGATCTCGATGTATAAAATCTTCAATTGAACAACGTTTCGTCTCTTTAATTAGGAACAGATGGGTCTACATGTGCTTACGGCTTCCTTTAACTTTCGTAGTCTTCTATATTGCACTTGCGTTTTACCTAATTAAATTACGTAAACCTCTCAAATGTTACGGCATTCAGCCTTACCGAACATCTTGGTGGTTTGTGCTCCTGTTGCATATTCCCAAGTTCCCGGTTCCATTCTCAGTCGGAAGACAAATATCCTGGCAGATTTTTCTTTGTTTTCCTCATTCCCTCTATGAAAATTTTGAAATAGTAGAATACCGTTTCTTTCCGGTTCACATTCGTTTTCTTATTCCATGTTCTGTGTGTGTGACCTAAGCCAGTGCGACGCTAAACCAATGAATGCGGTAAGTGTACCGAATAAAGCTTCGTTAATGGTAGAACGTCTTTAAAATCCAAAAATAAATTTGCTAATAGTATGATTAATGTATTCAGAGACATCTTTGTAGTACATAAAACCGTCACTGTATTAAAAAAAATTCTGTCAGCTGGCAGGAATTTATTTTAAATATTATTGAAATCTATGTTTTGATAAAATTGTGGGCCGATACTGGTACCCTTAATACAAGAATAGTTTTCTCGGACGGAATTTTCTAAGCTTTTTGTACAAACAAACATGAAGTACTCCATAGTAGCTGAATAAATGTGCTGTAGAATTATAATGAAAATTTATTACTCCAGCAAATAAGAACGCAGAAACACTGAATTGTTTTTCTGTCTTATATTACAGTACCATCAGCAACACACCGCTAACCAGGAATAAGCATCTCTCTAAACATTGTAATCGCTTAGGGGCCTGCCATCCATATCGTACCATCAGTTGTTCCAACACATTTTCCCCGGACATCAACAAAATTACATAAAATACCACTTAATGATTTTTCTGCCTACAATGCGCTATGCTAAGGATTACGAAAAGGTCGTGCTATTCGTTATCCATTAAGCATGAGTCTTGATCGAAGACCGCTTGAATAAATCTCATGGACCAATTGTGGTTTACCGCATGATGCTGTGATAAATGAGCTGCAGCATTGGTGGAATAATGATTACCAACGAAACACATTTTTACCGATTGTACATTTAAGAGTACTTAGTTTACAGAAGATATTTCACATTTAAATTTCACACACTATTACTACTACTATTACTAATTCAATTACTTATCATTAGTGTGCTGCATAATTAAATTAAATTCTTTATTACTGATGTGCTGCATCATAAGCCAGAAGGACAATTACAGACACAGCGCAAAATAAGTACACAAGAACACAATAATAAATAAACAAAGGTGAAGAAAAAAGATTATCTAATATTACTTGAGTGTATAGGACATTTATACATGAAGGCAACTTGCTACTGAATACATCAACATCTTTGTAATTATAGTTCAATTAGATTTAAAAGAAACAAGGTACTAAATCAGAGAATTATAATGATAACACACAGTCAGTGGTGAGTAGAGGAGGAGAGTAAGGGTATCACATATATAAATTTATGTTGAATGCAATTATTATCTACTTTATGGATGGCAACGCAGGTATTGTAGAATGTGTTTAAGAGAAACAATTTTTATTTTAAATATATCGATATCCCTGTAGTCAACATTAGCAGCTGGTGCTCATCTAGCAGAAGGGCAGTTTATAATTAAAGGGCTGTACGTTAACATTGAGAAGTCTCTTCTGTACAGAAGAGAAATTCGAAGAATGGAAGGGCAGTATTTCAAACCACGGTAAACTTGGGTAAGGAATTCTGCGTCAATGCAGTACCTCCTCTTACGTAAGGTTTGGAGCTTCAAATACCGTAAAGACTTAGAATTGTTATTATACAAATGGCGTAGAAAACAATTCCAGTTTATTGGCATCAGTTGTCGTAATATAATTCCAAACGACTGAGGCGTATCCGAGCTTTGATTTAAGACAACATTTAACATTTGCAGTCGTTTGGAGATTTAATGTCATGAAAGGTTTTGATAACATCAGCGAAAATAAGATACCTAGAGTGATTAATTACATTACATATGTTATAAATGAATAGGTCGAAAATCAGAGGCCCCAAAACAGATCCCTGTGGAAAGGCGATGAAAGAGTTGCATAAACGCAAACTTGAGAGTGTTTGTTGGTTAAGTAACTAAAAGAACAGTTTATATAACCACCATAAAGCCCATAAGTGCTGAGCTTTTTGAGTAGGAGGGTGTGAGAGACGAAATCAAAATCACTCCCAAGATCAAAATACGTTGCACCAGCTTGGTCCTGGGAGCCAAGTAAGAGGGTAATAAAGTCTAGATAAATTGCCAGATTCCTTATGGTAGATTTTTAATTTTTTTAAAACCACGCTTACAAGAATTTAATTTAGACTTTAAGTAATGTGAAATTTGATCATGAATAACAAGTTCAAATCGTTTGGAACAAATATGAAATATGGAAGTATGCCGGTAGTTATTAACAGGAGCAGAGTTAAGATTTTTAAAAACAGGAACTACTGTTGCCTTTTTCCATACAGTAGGAAAATAATGTTGTGTTAGACTTAGATGAAACGTGTGTTTGAGAACAGAAAAAAGTCTCAAAATAACCGTTTATAAGAAAGATAGGGATATATGATTTGAGATATTCACGGTGGTGAGTATGAAGATTTCTGTCCAGGGAAGTCATTAATTCCGACAGATTTAGATGGGGTTAGACGGCTAACGGCTTTACAAGTTTGCAATTCGGAAACAGGGGCTAATGACAAAAATTCAGAGGACTACACAGGGGAGGGGAATGTTCCTAAACAAGGGTTTTTGTAGATTGACTGAAAATGCTTAGAAAATTCATCAGCAACTTTACAGGGTTCTGCCAGACGAATACCGTTAACATCAAGGCTGAAGAAAAGTGGAATTTATTTTCTATAAGATGTCACGTATTTACATAATTGCTTGGGTTGTGACCATAAATAGACTTCAACCATGTAAGCTTCTCAGACTTAATAGAAGCTTTCACTAACATACAATAGAAGGAAAATTTGCTTTAAAAATAGCCAGAATGTTTCTTTTTAAAACGTCTACAATAGTAATCTTTTTTTTAAATGTACTAACGGAAAGCACTCGAAAACCAATGAGGGTATTTTGACTTTCGGGTAAACGCACGGGGAATTGCCTGATTCATTGTATTTATGACAACAGCGTTCAGGCTGGTGACAGCATCATCAACAATGTTGGTACGGTACATAAAAGACCTGTCATAAGTAGAGAGAGTGTTATACAACATGGTGTAATTAACAGATGCAAATTTGCGGTACGAATACTCACAATTACTGTGCTAGATTCAAAGTGTAAGTAGACATCAATAACAAAAGGTGGGTGACAAGCATCAGGCTTTACAATAATAGTGTGAATTAAATTAGTATGTAACTCACTAAAGTTTGTAAATATTAAATCTAGTAGACTACTGTTGCCATCAGTATCTGTATACGTATTGTCTTAGATCGAGAAGGCACGTGGAGTTGTAGGTGGAAACTCCCTTGATTTTCGAATAATAATGGCAACTAGCCTGAGAGAGACCACGCTTTCAGTTAAAACGAGGAGTGTTTAAATCACTCATGAGAATAACTCGAAAAATTTGTGTATCTAAAATGTTTTCTAAAACGCGAAAGTAATTAGTAATAACGAACAGTAAATAATAATAATTATAATAATAAGAACAGCAAATTAGTAATTTGTTCTCACCTCTTTTATTATTTAGAGTATTCATTCTTCTGAAGATTATTATTACTTTCATTTAAATTATAATATTTTTAATGATTATCGATTTTACATATGTAGTTTATATTAATTTTCCCTACTTGGTTAACACATGTAAAGTGGGAGGTGCAGTAACGTTCAGCTAATTTGTGTCACATATTCATTATCCAAATCTCGGTACCAGAAGCCAGTAAACACCAATGCAGCGACGAAATCCTTGCCTCTTTCAGCTGACGAGTTGGGCTTGCGGTTCTGGGATCACTTGTATCGGAAGCAGCCGGCGGCGGAACTGGATGGACAGCTCTCTGACTGCTGTGAGTAGACATGTCATAACCTTTGATTAGATAAAGTCGGCTTGTTACAAATCTACTGTTAAATTTACCGTTAGGAATGTCGGGAAAAACTGAAGTGACAGATACACATAGTCATAATAAGGCCCAGTAAATTATCACCAAGTCTTCAACCAGCCAAGCTACTACAAACACCTACCTCTTACATAGGTCGATACTGGTAGAAACACAGCACGCCTTAAACAGTCACGATATTAAATGCGTACCGTGTTACGAACTGCAGTTATTAGATTGTATGTATCGTCGATGTTTACTTCTAAACACACAGAAATAGTCAAAGCTTCTTTAACAAAAGTTCAGTAACTTTTGTGGCAGAACTCTAATGGCATCCGAAACCAATTTCTTAGCATCCTAATTACGTTTGCGCGTCGTCCTTTGTGCCACTTTTTGTACCCTACTTTATGCATAATGTTATACGTATTACCTGTGTTAGTGAAGGAACAGGAAATTTATACTGAAGAGTGTACAGTGACCGCGGTTCCCCTAACCATCAATTTCCCGCTAGTCCATGGGTATGCTAACCGCTGTATTTCTCAGAACGTAGTACTCGCGGCTGGACAGTGTTTGCTGAGTTAGACATTGAATTTTTCTCTCTATTCCGATAGAAGAATTCAAAGGGGGTAGGATTATTACATCTTTGGGGAAGGCTACCAGCATTTTTTCTTAAGTGGAACCTAACTGGCTGTAGCAAAGGGCTATAGCCCATGATTGTCACGTGATTGGCTCTAATTGATAAAACAATTTTCTCATCTTGTTATCAGCAGAATGTGGAAGACAGTTAACGTAAAATTCTATAAACACCAGAGTTAATTGTGTCTGAGAAATTCGATACGTTCAAGGAATTTTTTTATATTTTCCGAGTTTTGGTGTTCCTTCACTTCCTTTTTGTTCTATTCCTTCTGCTGTGTTTCTCATCATCCTACATTTCTGTCTTCCATAGTTGTATATTTGATTTCTATTGAAGTCTCGCGTACAAAGCCTTTATAAGACGCGCACTTCACAAGTCAAACTTCCAACACAGTTCAGACGTTATGATTGGCACCGAATTCAGCAGTAATTTGTTCATAAGTGCTTCTTTTTAAAGGTTCACTCGTACCTTCAATTGTAGTGGGACGTTATAACACTCTCACGCATCTCCCTCACTGTATGGTGTAGGATATTATTTGAAAAGTCGATTGAAACTCGGCTTGTCAAAGAATAGCCAACTTCATTTATGGAAACCGAATGTTCGTCAACGTGTCCTCAACTGGTGAATCCAGTTAAATCCATCTATCCCTGTCTCCCTTAGGTCCATCTTCTCACCTACGTCGAGGTTTTCCCAGCGGTCTTCTCCCTTCCGGCCTCCCTCGTACCTTCCCCATGCATGTCGCATGTCCCGCCTACCTCATCCTCCTTGATTTAATCGCCCTAAAAATGTCAGGTGAGGAGTACAGGCATGAAGCTCATAATTATCTCTCACGTAACAAACTAAGTTCGTGTGAGGACTGTGCCTTTTATCACGTAACATGAAAACCTGTTTCAAACAACTCATAAAAAGCATAACAGACCGTATTTAGGCCTAACGTTCTTGATTTATATTTATGGTTTATTTAACAATGCCTTCAGTGGCTCAAAGAGGATGATTAGTGAGAAATTCATTCAGAAGGAGGTAGTCTGAAGCAATCCTGGCCTAATTATGCTTAAAGGGGCTGAGGAATACAACAAGAAACCTCATTCAGGACAGCCGATATCCGGGCCGAGATTTGAACCCGAGGTCTCCCGAGTACGAAGTAGGAGTGCTCACCCCTCGACCATTACATTCTCGATTGGTCAAAAAATCGTTAAATTTTTGTTATTATAGTGACAGCGTGTTTCGAAACAGAACTATTTATGCGATAGTCCGCTGTCTGCAGTACGACGACCGCGTTACTCTCCATAACCCGGTGTTGCGGTAATGGTTGTCTCAGTTTCCTCTTGGTCTGAGGCGTGGGCCTTGTGCCGCTTGGTCACTGGGACCGTGGGTTCGAATCCCACTCAAGCCATGGATATCTGTCCGCGTTTTTCTGTGTTGTGCTGTCCTATGTACAGGTAGACGGGCTGATCACTCGTCCAAGGAGTCCTACCGAATGTCTATAGATCAAGCCAACGAAAATGTTGGGACCCGCAGTGCTCAGGCACTTGAAGAACGGGTCGTGAAAGTATCAAAATAAATAAGTTGCGGTAGTGATCATAGAGAAAAATAGGTAACCTGTCTGTTGCTTTAATTTGTTGCAGATCTCGGTAACTGGAATTCCTCACAATGCGTTTGCGTGGGGAAGTCGGTGTTTTGCAACAACGCGGGCCTCTCTCGGCCACCGGCAGGATTAACTTCACATGAGTTGTATCTTCTGTAAGTAAGCAACTAATAAGCTGATAATAGCTCATATGGTCAAGAAATCCCTTGCATTTTAAGATACTTGAAGGTTCGTTAACGTGTTTGCAATAGCCCGCCGCTGAATAATGTACCCAATCAGAAGTATTTAAGTATTATTCTTTAATAAGGGTTAACTTGCAAAAGATCTCTTCTCTTTCGGCCTTAAGTCGACTATTTTGACGAATTTCTCATCTTTTCGATGCTTTCCACATGTTCTATCCATCTCATCCTCCTTGCTTTTATCGCCCTAATAAAATCTGGGATGAGCATAGACGGATTATTAGAGTTGCCGGATTCAATCCGATATTGGACTGAAACGTCATTTTACGATAGTTCTGGACTGAATTGTCGGCACTAATTCATATATTTACTGTGGAACAAAGCTAAGAAACAATGGATTCGTTACGTTATTCTATTTTAATTAATGAGGATTCAATGCTAATTCATGTGAACCTTGTTGATGTCGTGAGTTGTTTAGAAGGGAACTGCCAACGAAAATGTCAATTTAAAAGTGGTATAAATTGTTTGGTCAGAATGTCGGCATTTGCAAAGGAAAGAGCCTCGGATACGACCAGGCGCTGAAGTTCAGGCAGAGTTCTTTTGTTCGCAATCTGCATAAATCAACTAAGCATTCTCTGCTGAAAATTTAGTAATTTAAAAGTTTTATGTCAACTGTTGCAGCATACAATTGCCCAAGAAAATAAAATCGCTACAAACTTTTCTCAGACTTGGACATGACGAAAATTTCACAGCAAAAATTTTCTTCATTAATGGAGCCACATTCCTTTCATTTGTAAATGTTAATCGACATAACCCAAGAGTTCGGAGGGAGCAACATTCGTCATAAAGTTAATGAATATACGAGAGAGAGTCCAAAATTGAATGCGTTTTGTACCTTGTCCAAAGAAAACGTGTTCTTTGACAAACGTGCTGTGACCCGCATTGCGTACCTAAGCATGTTGGAGGAATTTCTCGTGTCTGTTTTTAAGAAGATGCTCTTGATTGCATGCTATTCCAACAATACGGTGCGCGTCTACATTTTCACAAGTGACAGACTACTTAAATTGCTAGTTTATAAAGAAATGGATTGGAAGCAGCGGGCTTATCTCTTGGCCACCTTTCTTGCCTGACCGTACTCTCTTGATTAATTTGTGTGTGTGTGTGTGTAACATCAAGGATGCCACCATTGTATATCACTTTACCGGGACTTGAGGGAAGATAAGATATGTAGTGGCTACAATTACCCTTGACTTACTTGACATCGTGTAAACTCAAATTGAATAAGATTGTGATATCTGCTGGGCCGCTTACATTGCCCTCATTAAATATATGTAATATGTAGATCACAATAACTTGATCATACAAAATACTCAAATGTGTTTAGCTTTAATTCCTATGCTTAAAATGGTATACATTTCATGTGTGTACCATGAATTCTCTCTGCCCTTGTTCATTGTACCAGCTCAAGTTCAAATATTTGCAACACTTTGCTCTGAGGCGCAAGTACTGTTCTTAACTGCAGAGTCATCAACCACGATTTCCACACAAAACAATGGTAACATCATCATTCGATTCACCTTAATCTTAGATTTTAAATAGGTAACGGGTAGTAAAATATTCTGAAACGAATTCAAGAAAGCATTCAGGGAGACTCAGCGCTCTGAAATATCACCGTAACTTTCTGTTGTGTTCTCTGATTTCACTTTTGCATGCGCGGTTTCTAGAAAATCCTTTGGGATGCGTTCCTAACCTTATTCCTTTGACGCTTCCAGAATAGAACACGCCTCTCTTTGTCTTCAAATAAATATTTCAGTCTCACAGTGTGAGCAGACACTTTCAGCCATCATTCTTAACTCCTTTAAACTCAGGGCATTGTTCTTATTGTTTAGAGAGACAGCCATTAGGCACAAATGAACTAACATTAAGAAAATTAAACCGCAAATTGTCAGGTGGTACGTATCAAGGACGACTGACTCCAATGCCATGATTTCAAAGATATGCAAAGAGAAGCTACGTAAATGAAGATGACTGTCTTCCAAAATGGTTCACCGTGTATTGTGGTGTAAGTTCGCCGATGATTCAAAGGTTCTTTCTGCCTTCACCTTCAGTACGATATACCCTGATGATACAGGCAAAAAATACCTCTGAATGGTCAGCAGATTTCCACTAGACATGGCGCAAATTTTAGAAGGTTCAGGTGCGTAATCAGAGAATTTGCAAAAATACGCCTGTTAGCTTCGCCAGTTTTGCTCATTTGTCCGTCGATGTAAAAACTCGAGAACCGATTTAATGAAACGTAATTCTGAAAATTTTAACTAAAATTTAGTAACACAATCCAGTTGTAGTTAACATCAGACTTCAATAACGATTACCCTACACGCAGAGCTGCACATTTGCAAGCACGAAAGTGACCTTGGGCAATCTCCAGTTAGATATAGATGTGAATATATGAATCTCGGGTAATCCCGTGAGTGTGTTGTAATGCATTTAACAGATACCTAGACACCCCGCATACGTACAAGTCATTGACTCTAGCCAAATTTGACGTCACTAACCTTAATCGGAAAGGCGATAGGTTACGTCTTGACGATGCGGTCTCTCACAACTTGCGATAATTAAACAGAGCATTCTCGAAATGAAAATCTGGAGACAATAACGAAGCAAACGCCCCAGAACGGTTATGCTATGCGAACACTTCTAAATTTGTTTAATCTAATATGAGAGATGAAAAGAGGAGGTTAGATAATATCTCCATAATTTGTGTTTAGGTGAGGAAATCAAGATACGTAAATTCATAGGACATGTCTGAAATAAGAAGTAAATACAAAACTTTAGTCACTAAGCAGAATGTGAACATGCTACTCGGGAGAACTCATCATGAAAGAGTGGTTATATTACAATTTATTTAAAATACATTAATTTGAGTTAAGGATTTTTTAAGTCGACTAAGTGTAGACTCCAGTAACGGACTCAGGCAAACACGTAAATGAACTTCAAGTTTAACAAGAGAGTTTTTTACTACGTTTGAACGGTTATTAGACTCTCAAAACGGGGTCGGATCCACAGAGTTTGTTGTTCGAAAACTGTATGTAATATCGTATTTAATTAAGTTCAGTTCATTTTATCATCATCATCATTGTCGTCGTCGCCATCATCAAATTATTAGTGTTATTATTAAATATGTATATAGATTTTACAACTTACCTTTTGTATGATGGATTTCGTCACTCTATTTTGAATAATTTGGTATTTATAACTACAAATTTATATGTTGCGCCCCAAAAGTTTATGGGTATCTGCATATATCTCTGTAGTTGTGTTATTAAGTACTTGGACAATTGTCTTTTTTACAGGGACCTTACTGGATGTTCGTTTCCAGTTTTGAACTCGAATGTAATGACTAAACTTCCAGATCTTCACACTTTGTAAGCATATATAATTTTGTATCTGTTAGTTAATTCCTGTCTAAATTTAGACTTTTCCTGAGTAAAACCATTTAAACATATAAAACCCTGAAATATGAGGGTAGAAATTAAATTATTCTCTGACGAGAAATGAAAAAAAAAACATTGCAGTAAGTATAGATAACTATTTTAATAAACATGGCTGTCTTACGAGATGTTGTAACGTGTAGTCTGACACATGTGTCAGTTTTATATCAGCTTACGACCCTTATCAACAGCTTGATGAATAAACATGATCAGGGTTATTACCCATGGTTCTGAGTTATTTATTTATTTATAGTTTATTTAACGACGCTTTTCATTAGCTCAGACTAAGTAGCGTCAAATGAGAGGATGATAGTAAATAATGAATTGGAAAGTATATGGATGGAAGCGGTAGTGTACAATCCCAGAATTTGCCTGTAGGCAGTAAGGTGCTCTGAATCGTCGAAGATCATGTACGAATTGACATTCCAGCCACCTTCATACTTGTTCCAGTAAGAACCAGAACTCTCAACTATTTTAGTGTTTTTAAATGAATTCTGTTATATAGGTCGCTCTTATAATTTGATATTTTAGTAATTTAGACCACGCCACAAATATGGTTTATTATTAGTATAGAAATTAAAAGACAAATGATTCACACACGATTCACATTATGTTGTATTAGGACACGGAGGCTTAACATGACAATGACTACTTATGGTCTTATTATAAACCAGTACAGTCCAATCGATATTCCTGAACCTATTCCTTTGATGCAGTTTTATTATAATCCGCTTAAATCTAATTTATTCAAGTGTTAACGTACTAACTGGTTTCCTGACAGCAATTGAACGCGTTTATTTTCCTAAGTTCTAAATATATTCCAGGATGATTGAAATTTTTAAGGGGAAACACAGTAACATTTAAACAAAAATTTTAAAGTAACTCACGCTGTGGCATCAAAATCTCAAGGTTTAACACCACTAATACTAAAATCAGCCATTGGACACGATACTGAACCACTTACATACTGTTATAATGCTACACAAAAATTTTAAAGTAACTCACGCTGTGGCATCAAAATCCCAAGGTTTAACACCACTAATACTAAAATCAGCCATTGGACACGATACTGAACCACTTACATACTGTTATAATGCTACTTTTATATCTCTTTTTTGGTACTGCAAGTTGACTTTTTCAAAATATCCCTCACAAAATTCTCTATGCAGTCCCAATCTATGTAATCATAGCCACGTGCCTAGTCTATTGTTGCTTCTGACAGTACTGGATAGTCCTCCATGTTAGGGAGTCAGAGTGTTTGTAAATAACTCTGCGCCATAAAATACTATATTTTTTTTGTAAATTTTGCAATGTCCTCAGAACTGGACGGATTAAACTCCAGTCTTTTTTGGTTAATTTTTTTCATAATCATAATTCGCGTATGATACATGACAGTTTAATGTGAGTGTTCCGGTGTGTTGCAGGGTATTATCCTATTCGGGAGTAAAGTTGCTGTATGCAGGAGCATTCTCGACCGTTCCAAATATGCATACACTGTAAGTGCTAAATGTGCTTTAGCTTGTGCCAGTAATAACTGTTTGAATATTCATCATTTTAACTGTTTATGACACAAATAAATAATTTACTAAATCTTTAATTATTAGGTAGGATATTAGATTTCGGTTAACGAAGTAATGTAAAGGAACACAGAAAAAGGAATTGGCTCATAAAGAGCACCATAATTATTATAAACAAACATTAATTTATATTTAGTTTAAACAAAAAGCATTATTTTATTTTAGCTGACCTAACCAGCGCACAGCTCTTGAAAAGTAATCGTTAATTTTGATTTTGCTTGCAGGCATCTGGATAACAATCACCTGGAGACACTGCCTGAACCAATTCTGCAATCAGCAAACGTTCTGGATACACTGTGAGTACTAATCTCAGATTTGACAAATATGAAGGCTATTTAGAGGGGCTTCCTGCCTCCATTATCAGTCGATTAGCATCTGATGATTAGGACAACAAGCACCTCTGAAGTATCGGTTAACGTCTGCCAGACTAGAGCACTCTTCATGATTGTAGAAAGCGAACCAAACGACATACTTTGAATGTGTTTATTTTAAAATACCGATAACTAAACAGGTAACTCAATGGTGCAGAGTCGTTTTTGAAGAGATGACAGACACTTAGCCACCCGGTACATTTTCTGTCTTTTAAGGAACCTGAGGTCTCATTATCGCCTTCACAAGACTCACTGGACTCGATCCTGAGCGGTAGAATCCAGTTCATAAATGCTTTAAGAATTATTTTATTAAGCCTTTCATTCTTCTATATGCGCAGACCTCAAGGATTTGCAAACAAAACTTTTTACGTTAGCTGTTTCTAGTCTCTTCCATCCGTATCCTATATTTCCGACTGGTATTATGCGTTTTCTTCATCTGATCGCCCAAATAACATTTAGTGTGAAATTACAAATTAAGAATCTTCTCAGTGTTCAATTTCTCCAGTAATTTTTTCTTCCTTCCTCTAAGGTTCAATATTCTCCTCAACATCCAGCATTTGAAGACCCTCAGTATGTATTCTTTCCATCAGATGCGCACAAATTTATCTCTTAAGTGCAATTTTTGTGATTTTGCATAGGCTTGTTGTTTCTTCTGTGACAGTTTTCTTTGTTCCGCAAGTATCTACAATTATTCCTTCTGTGGTAAACGAGGTGCGATCGGAAAGTTTCCAGACTGTGTCAATAGAGGGTGAACTGGATGTAGTACGAGCTTCTGCCGCTAGGGGGTGCGGCCTACATTCATAGTGAATCAGTGTGCCAGCCGGCATCATCGAATTAGCGATTTCGGAATGGCGGATTTTCAAGAACAAATCAAATTTTGCCAAACACTCGCCAAAACGGCTACGGAAACCTATGAAATGCTAAAGCAAGCATTTGGGGAGTCCGCAATGGGTCGTGCACAAACTTTTGTGTGGCATTCACGTTTTAAAAATGGCCGAACCTCTGGCG